CACCAGGACTGAGCCACAGGGCAGGCTCCAGACTGACCCAGGATCGGTGACCCCGGTTCCTGTGGGGAGTATGACAGGCTTCTGGGTGCCACAGAGACCAGGGGGCCCCCCAGGTGGGGAACAGTGGGGGGCACATGGCTGAGTCTAGAGTGGCCCAGAGCCCAGAGCCCGGCCAGACCCCGAGCTCATCGTTCTGTCCCCAGGGGAAGGCTACCAGTGGAGCCATTCCAGAAGCCATGGCAGGGAGCTGGCCCAAGACCCCAAGGGGTCCAGGACTGGACTCAGGGAGCCCTGTGAAGGGTGTGGGCTGAGGTGGGAGACCAGGACTCAGTAAAGCTAGCTAGGGATGTAGGAATGACCTGCTTCTGGCAGAATCCCAGGACGCAGGTAGAGATTGGTTACCTAAGCCCTGTACCTGGCCATTGCATACAGGAGGCCTGGCAGCTTTCTGGATTTGCTCTGGCCTCTGTGAGGGTCTCCACCCTGGCCAAGGACTGCGCAGAAGAGGAGCCAGTGGCGTCCTCCACACCGTGTCTGCTGTCTCTGTGTCCCTCCGGGACTGTACCACAGACCTGCCTGTCACTAGGCCCTGGGCTGCCTGGCCCCGTCTTGAAGTCTGTCAAGTAGCTCTGGGCAGTTCCCCGAGCACAGTAACAGGAGGGCAGGCCCAAGGCATCTTCTCATCCCCATGAAGCCCCCAGAAGGGACAGAGCAGGAAGAATCGCACTGAGGGGCAAGTGCCGGGACAGTGGCCTGGGCCCTAGGCAGCTGGGGGACTCAGCAGCCGGGGCTGTGCTGTACCTGCTGGGTGGGGTGGGGGCAGAGGCGAGACCTCTCCGTAGTCTCACCTCTAGAAGTGACCTCGGGAGCCCTGTCCTGCCGCCCAGCCTGTCTTCCTTGTGGCATCCTCAGAGGTTTCAAGGTAGGATGGAAGAAGCAAAAATGAGGCAAGGAAAACAGGGCAAGGAAATTGAGATTTTGTTTTGTTCTTTGTAGCCCTGAGAGTTGAACCCAGGGCTTCATGCATGTAAACAAGCACTCTACTGCTGAGCTACGTTTCCCAGGCCAAAATCAAGATTTTAAAAATAGTACATTTATTATTATTTTTTTAATTTTTGATTTGTTGTTTGTTTTTTTGAGACATGGTCTTGCTTTGTAGTCCAGGCTGGCCTTGAACTCACAGTGAGTCTCCTGCCTCAGCCTCCTGAGTGCTGGGATTACAGGCGTGCATCGCCACTCCCAGTTAAAAATTGTATTTTTACAGGGCTGGGGATTTAGCTCAGTGGTTCTGCTATATGCCTCACAAGTGTAAGGTTCCAAGTTTGATCCCTGGTACAAAAGAGAAAAAAAACAATTGTATTTTTAAGAAGAGCTGCAGCTTCAGGACATAAGCCCAGTTTATGTATTTATTTTTCTTTCCTTCTCCCAAAACATAGTGACCCTGGGCAACTCCCTTTCACCTACAGGTGGGTTTGGCCTTCCCCTTTTACTTGTGAGTGGCCCTCTCACCTGTGAATTGGTCTTCTCTTAGGAGCCCTAAGAGAATGGATCATTATTCCACCATGGGCAGGACTATAGGTTTTCAAAGAGATTTCCCCGCCCGAACACACAAAGATCCGTGGTCCCCAGCTGTGCACCCAAACTCTACTCTCAAGTGCATCCTTTATCTCTGTCTAATAAACCCTGCTCTTGCCTTTTCCTGATGCATCCTGAGAATTCTTTTTCTGTGATGAGCTGGGTGTGGTGGCTGAGGCAGGAGGATCAGCCTGAATCTGAGCCAGTCAGAGCAACATAGTGAGACCCTGTCTCTAAGAAATAAAGAAAGAAAGAAAGGGAAGGAAGGAAGGAAGGGGGGAAGGAAGGAAGGAAGGAAGGAAAGAGAAAGAAAGAAAGAAAGAAAGAAAGAAAGAAAGGAAAGAAAAGTGGTTGCACAGGTGTCCCCTGGATCAGCCGTGATGCCGCCTGGTTTACTGCGGGCTTAGAGGAGGGTGTGTGTGGTAGTACAGCTCTCTGGTGGTGACGGCAGCCTGCCTGGCTGCGGTGCTGCCCATTGGACAAAGTTGGCACTCCCAGGGCCTGGGCCAAAGAGCTCCATCACTTCCCGCAGGGCAGGGTGCTGTCTCCTCAGGGCTCCTATGGCAGGGTTGGTACACAGGGACCCCAATGCCGCACAAAGGAGGGGAGTGGGGTGCCTTTCCCTGCAGTGCGCTGTGATCCTGGTCAGCCCAGCAGGGGATGGGGGTGGACATGCAGGAGCAGGGTAGGGAGCTGGCCTGTTGGAACCCTGGGTGGCAGCTGTCCCCACCATGACCCTGGCCTGCCCCTGAATGCAGTCTGAGGACCCCAGACAGAGAGGGGTTCAGGTGGGATGGTCCCCAGCTATCTTGGGGATTGACCCTCAAGTCCCAGGCTGTGGCCACACCCACCTGTCCCCTTCCTAGACTGTCCCCTAGGACACGTGTGGAGAGTACCACATGTCTCTCCACCCTTTGCAGCACCTATGGGCCACTGAGAGAGACAGTGGTGATGGCAGGTCCTCACACTGGGCCAGGCCTGCTGTCCTTGACTTGCACGAGTCTGCTGTGTGTCAAGGTACACACTTGGTGTCCGTCGTAACACACACACCACTCAGTGGCCCTTCAGTCACCCCGGATGGGTGAGGTCAGACAGGACCAGTTCCAGGCAGCAGCCTGCAGAGCCCTGGCTATGGCCACCTTTGTGGATTTTCTTGGTCAACTTTACCCATGTTAGAAATGAGCCCTCAGGCTGGGGATTTGTCTTAGTGGTTCCGCCACCTGTCTTGCAAGTGCAAGAGCCCGAGTTTAATCCCTGGTGCCAAAAAAAAAAAAAGAGGCCCCAGACTAAAATTGTTGGTGCCAGAAAGAATGCAGTCAAACACAAGCAGGAGACTCGACAAGGCAGTTTAAAGTTCCCTTCTGCAGAAGGGTATGAGAGCGCTCAGACACGAGGCAGCAGGTGCACCTAGCAGCAGGGAAGGGGGTTACACCTCGCGCACAGCACCCGGAAGCAGCTATCCTTTAAATTAATTGGCTGGATCCAAAGGCTGACATGTGTCTCCACTGGCTAGTTTAAGCAGTGCCAAAGGGCTGCTGAGGGAAAGGAAGAGCGGGAGGGGAGAAAATGAGGACAGATAAGCAGTCTCGGCCTGCACTTTGTTTCTGGAATTTAAACTGAGCAGTCACTTCTCGGGATCTCAGTGTGTCTGGGAGGGGCTGTGGAGAGTGGACCAGACACTAAGATGGAGGTGCTTCTGTTTATGTCCTTTGATAGAAAAGACACCATCATTTTCTCCAGAACACAGAACTGTCGAGTTCCTCTGAAACCCACTGCTGAGGCCCTTCCTCCTCTCTTTCCACCCGCTCTCTGTCCCAGCCTTGCTGTAGGTGGAACCCAGTGAGGGCTGGCAGAGCACAGATGGTGCTGGTCACCACGGCCCAGGCCAGACTCTGTGTTGGACACATATGCAAGTGAATCACCACCTGCCCAGTTTCCACCGCAGGCTCACAGGGTGAGAACCCAGTACGCTGCGCTTAAGTCCTGTCCTGTGAGGAACACATGGACATCAGTGGTGCATCCTGGGGCTGGGAGAGGCTGGGTGGAGGGGCGGCCGTGCTCAGTGCCTCACCTGGAAGAAGGGTGACCGTCTGACACCATTGCTCAGAACAGCAAAGGGACAGAACCCTGGGATGGTTTGCTTGGGTACTGTCCGAATCCAGCCATCGGTGCCGCTGGTGATGCCCAGGAAGATGCTGGGAGCACAGAGGAGAGAATGTGAGGGTCAGTGTGGGTGCAGGAATGAGCATACTGCAGCAGCACCAGTCCTTGGGGCTGTTTCCTGAACACGGGCTGCTGTGCACCATCCTGAGCCTTCCCACACCCTTGCCTGAAGTCTCTGCTACTTCTCATGGCTCACAGCTCATCCCCAGCCCCTCGACCTTGTCCTTCGTGTGCACCCAGCTGGGGCTGGGGCTGGTGTCCTGAAGTTCACCTGTCGGATTGGCGGCCCCACCCTCCAGCTCAGGACAGAGGGTGCCCAGCCTGACCCTCAGCACTTCAGCCTCCCGCGTCATGCAGGGCCTGGGTGGTGCTTGTCTGTGGGAGAACCAAAGGAGGGGGTTTTCTTTTCCACAGGAGTTTCTCATGTAGGCTTTGGACCCAGTACCTGGCTTGCACCCTCAGTGAGCCTGTGCTCAGCTGCCCTGAGGGCTGGTACCAGGTGCTGCTTGGCCACCAAGGTTCACATTTGTAGCCAGGTCTGGGTGCCGTTCTGGTTCCGCAGGACAAGGTCCTTGGTGGGCAGAGCAGGGTTAGGCCTGGCACAGGTCTGCAGAGCACATGGTCCCAGTGAGGGTGCTGGCCCCTGAGGACACCATGGCCAGGCCAGGTCCTGGAGAGGAGATTTCTCATGATGCAGCAGCTCGTGGGCATTCGCCCCGTCTGGATGAGCCTGCTTGCAGTGTGAGCACCTGGGTCACCCAGGGAGGAAGCGTGAGGTGATCCGAGCGGTCCCTTCCTGTGTCACTCTTCAGTACACTCTTGGCCATGGCTCCATGGCGCTCCTGACTGCCCTCTCCCTTTGCTGGCCAAACATGTCTTGCTGCTTTGGTAGCTCATCCCCTGCCCGACTCATCCCAGGGACCACAGAGAACTGCTGGATGGGCCACGTGGCCAGGGCAACGGTTTCCTTTAACAACCGCAGTGCTCTCCCAGTTGCTTAAGTGTCCCAGGCTTTGGAGCTCGAATTTTCATCGGTTTGTGAGCTGGGGAGGTTAGGGTGGAGGTCAGCTGGGTTGGTTTGGGGATCTTCAGGGATTCATCCGGCACATTCTGAATGTGTCTGGGGGTCAGGGAGGTGACCTTGGGGCTCTGTCTGGTCCCCGTCCCTTCCTCTCTGGTGCTGTCCCTTGCTCTGCATCCTGGCCACCATGAGCTGAGGTCCCTGAAAGTCCTGAGACAAGACAAGCCCCTCCTCCTTTCAGGTGTGAGTGTTGGCCTTGTGTCCATGGAGGGGTGCTGACTGCTGCACGGACAGCCAGGAAAGGACCACGCCCTGCCCCTCAAGGTCTTCATCCTGAGGAGCGGTATTGGGGTCTGTTGGCAGTCACCTGCTTGTCCCCACATCTCTGTGGTAACTCCTCAGAGTCCTGTGAGTCTGCACACATCCTGGGTGGTTCCTGAGCAGGACCCGTGTTTGCAGAACATCGGAACAACATGCACAGCACAGTGTGCAGCGTGAGAACTGGAGGTGAGAATGTGTATCTGGGTCTCCACTGTCACTGGCCCTCTGTGGGGCGCTGGTGTGGGCGGTGACGTCACACAGCACAAATCTCACCGCTCTGCTCAGGTGGGGACCTGGCTCGGGGTGCCCTGGTGCAGGGCCCCCATCAGCGGCCCTGGATGTCCTGGCAGCCCTGGCACTGTCCTGGGAGGACTATGTGAGCCTCACAACCTGTGACACAGAGTCCACCTCCCATATGGGAGGAATTGGGCCAGCAGGGCTGTCCCCGAACCCTCCCCCCGCTGCTGCCGGGCTCCTGGGCTTTGCCCATGCATAGCAGGGCCCTGGTACCAAGGGATTACTGAGCCTTCCTCCCTACCCCACCTTGTCCCCTTGTCTATGACATCTGCAGCACAGCCACATGTCACCCTGGGCTCCACGTGAAGGGTAGGAAGTCCCACCTGGAGCTGTTCTGGGAGCTCCCATGAGGTCTGGGCTTATGGGCATCCAGCCCAGGGCATCAGACTTCAAGATACATCCCACAGCTGGGAGTCAGGCCATGAGGTCCTGGGGTTTGCTGGCTGTGGGGGCCCTGGGCAGGCTGTTCCTGGGGTAGACTGAGGGCAGGAGCCATGTTCCTTGGCTCTTCTGTGACCCTACCTGGTATCCCGCATGGAGCCAGCACTGCACAGGCTGGGCAGAGCCACTGTCCTGCTTCTCATGACCAGAACACACTGCACATCCTTGTGGCCCTGGAGCCCGCACACCCTCCTGTGGGTGCTGCTGCTGACTGCTGTGGAGTGTCACTTCCTGACAGGGATTGGCAGAGGCCTTTCTGGGAATCAGGAGGTTATAGTAGATGGCAGGCTGCCCAAACCTTGCTGCTCTGCAAGAGACAATCAGAGGTTAGACTGGCATCCAATGAGGGGGCTGTGGGAACAGACAGAGGCTAGCAGTGTGGCCACCATCTTAGGAGCTGGAGAGGCTGGAAGAGGCAGGAAGGTGTCCTGGGGTGTGGGGGAGGCCCCACTGCACTCTTGATTTGGGACTCGGCCTGTGGCCTTGTCCTCCCTGTGTGGGGCCAACAGCCCTGTACGTAAACCACGCCTGTCTGGGAGGCCTGTGGACGAGGCCAGCACATATTATGCAGCCTCTGTGGGACAAGCTCTGGAGACATCATGTGGAAATGCAAAAGTTAGAAGGCTTTGCTGGCACAAGTGTGTCCCAGCTTTTAGAAGTAGCTACCAAAGTATATATAAACCAGGACCAAGAAGCTAAACAAGAGGCTGATATGAGGCTTTAAAGGAAATGTATCTGTTAGCAGCAATGCTGATGGAGAAACAGAGTCACCAAGGGGTGAAGGCACAAACATGAACAGAACAGGGCCAAACTAGACCAAGACCCACCAATTGACCAAAGCTAGATTGGGAGCAATGAGCTAGATGTAGAAAGCGTAGACATTAAAAAGCTAATGCCCAGAAAATGATGACAGAGATGATGACAAAAATTCCAAAGCTTAAGAGCTGCCCCATGTAAAAATTTGCTTGTAGACCTTATTGAACTGCTTCGAGCTGGTGGCTATCAATATATGTTGTTGCTTTCCTACCACTTCTCAGGATAATTGAGGCCTTCTCCACCTGACAAAAAAGACACAAAAGGTGACCAAGATGCTATTGGAAGACACCATCCCAAGATTTATGATGGTCACATAATGGACCAGCATTCGTAGCCAAGAAAGTCCAGGAGCTCACACCAATGTTAAAGAAATGAGATCAAGTCCTGCCCATTGTCCTTCTCCAAGTCCGGTACACCTTCACCAACGAACTTCATATTCCTGTTATGAGAATCTACATGACAGGCCACCCCCCAATCATAGTTCAAATTAAAGTTAATCTTTGTAAACTTAAAAAATTGTCCCTGAGAGAACAAATATAGGTTTTGGGAAGAGCCCTACAAGATATCTATTACTGTGTACAAGAGAAAATGCCCATAAATTTAAGATCCAGTGTACCCATTCAAACCTAGGGACTTTGTTAGGGTCAAAAAAAAAACAAAAAACAACAACTCTAGGGCTCATGTGGGATGGGACTCATACTGTGATTCTATCCACACCCACTGCTATCAAAGTTATAAGAACTGTATCTTAGATCTGCCACAGTCAGCTAAAGCCAACAGCCAAAGACAAGTAGACCAGCTGATAAGGTCCATACCACAGCACCAGCTGATCCTGTGACAAGGTCAGGCCGCCATCAGAGACAACAGCCCTGCTCTCATTGCCTTGGAAACTACCCAAGGCAGAAGCCTAAAGATCAACATAAGTCCCTTATCCTCGCTGTTATCTTTCCCTTGTCTCTTACCCCTACTTGTCAGAAACATTCTGATGGTCATGGAAACTCTGATGGGCAGGCATACCACCAACTGACAGCCTTATCCAAGCACCAGCCTCTGCTTAGTAGGCTGTGCTGAGCACCCCCTTCTGACCAAAGAATTGATAAAATAATAACGGTAAAGATGATGCTCTCTGGTAAAACTTGTTATAGAAATCATCAAAGGGGGAAACAAAGCAGAACTTAAAAGAAAATCAGTTCTCCTAGCTGAAAGCAGTCTAACAGTTCCCTACTCAGGTTCTGCCTCACCCTTTCCCATAACGACTGACCTCCCCTTGTCCTGATAAGGTAAACAGTCAAATTCCTGTTCAAGAAGTTTTGTAACCCCTGAGAAACTATATGCTCTGTAAACAACTGTGTTCTATAAACAAACTCTGTTCCCATATGATTCATAAAACACTGTCTTCTTACAAGGCTAAATTACTGAACTGTCTGCCCTGTTCTGTTTAAACTTACTTCATCACTGAAAGACCACTCCCTTTTAACTAAATGCATAAAAACTGAAACTTCTCTTTGGTCAGTTGCTCAGCCTTGGGACACAAGTCCATCAGGCTGGTGTTCACCCCAGCAGGCCCTCCTTCTTCCCTTAGTCTCTCTTGTCCCTTAGAATTCTGCATGGTGACAAGGAGCAGGTGCAGCACTCAGCACGGTATCCGAGCCTGTCTATGCGGCTGCTGGTGGTGAGGACAAGCTGTCTGCTCAGCCCTGCTGTTCGTGGCCACTGTGCCTTTTCCAGGGCCACAGCTGGGCAGTGAGCACTGACGCCCACTGCTGTGAGAACCCGATTTCCTCCTCCATGGGATGCCTTGAGTAGGGATCTGGTGCAGGTGGTGTCGTCTTATTCCTATAGAGGTGTTGCAGTCTAAGTGATTGGCATCTTTGGGGTGGAGCCAGGGCAAGTGCTTCACAGAGTCCGCGTGGCTCGAAGTGGCTGGCAGAGCCCGGGAGGATGCTGTCAGGTCAGTGTGCAAGAGTGTGAGGTTGGAGGGCAGAAGCCAGCTGATGACCTGGCACTGATAGGAAGGTCAGTGTTCTGGTTTCAGGTGCCCTGGGGCCTGGGTGACATGGAAGCCACCTGTGGCTGGGCCTTCTCAGATTGTTGGGCAAAGGAAGCTGTGGGCAGGACAGTATTCCATCCTAAGGGCCTCTCAGGGCAATGAGAATCCTGTGACCTTGCCACCGTCCTCCTGGGCACTGCTTATGAGGCTCTGTGGGATCATGGTGCTAGGGGCTGAGCTGGAGCAACTCCCAACATCACACTCAGCACTGATGGCTGGTTAGGGACAGAGTTGTCCAAAAGGAGGGACAGAAAAAAGTCACTACCTAAGTCACTGAGTTGCTCAGGCTGGGCTCAAACTTGCCATCCTCCTGCCTCAGGTTCCCAGAGTGCTGGGGTCACAGGTATACGCTGCCACACACTGCTAGGTAAGGTCTTTTCTTAACTACATGGCCAGTTTATTGATTTCTTATACTCACTTAATCATTACCATCTGTGCAGACAAAAACATTGTATATATAATTGTTTATGGTGTGTTGAAAAGGACAGTTGAGTTTCGTAAGCACTAAGGGCAGCCACGAATATGTCACTGTGGCCTTTGACCGTAGTGGTGCAGTTGGTGCTTGGCACTGTTTGTCATAGCGAATTAGATGACCTCAGAGAATTCTGCATGAGTGTCTTGCAGTGTAAATCTTCAGCTCTCCATGCCCTGGCAGTTTTCACGGTCAGACCTCACAGGCAGTGCTACTGGTCCCTACAGAGCTATGGGTGAGGCCTGGGTGCTGTCTTGGGGACAGCACATAGTTGGAAGGTTCTGGAAGTTTCCGGATAGCCTCCCAGGTATGAGCTCCCAGAGCTTCTCTTCCACCAGAGTGACACTGCACAATGATCACCTGGACCAGGAGACCCACAATGACTGCAGGGGTCAGCTGGGCACCCTTGTGTGACTCAGTGATTGGAGGAACATTCTAGAAGGTGGCCACACCTGTCTCAGGCCCACTCCAGGACTCAGAGAACCCTGGGGCAGAGGAAGCCAGGTAGATGGGCTCTGTGCAGCCTGTCTCTGCGCAGGCACATGCGGTCAGAGCAGGTGAGAAGACGTGTGCAGAGACAGCAGGACATGTGTAGCTGTGCAGGTGGCACCAGGCAAGGGGGCAGGGATGGACAATGCTGGAGAGCCAGCGGCTGGTGTGGGCTGCTCCATGCCCAGCCTGGCTGTGTGAATGTGGCCTCCTTTCTTTCCCGTGTGCCCCCCACACCCTGCCATGGCCACACAGGGAAAGCGAGCTGGACTCAGTTTCCCCAGCCACAGCCATGCAGCACAGTACTTCTAATGTCAGGCGTGAAGCTCCAGCCACACCATGTGGCAAGCAGTTCTGCTGGAGTCATGCTGGGCATCTCTGGTGATCGGGTCAGACACGATCCAGCTGCAGTGGGGGACCCCCGAGATGCATCCTCAGATGGTGTTAGCTTTGCCTGTGCTTGTTACCCCTTGGTTATAATTCGGGGTTTTCACCGCCCCGTCCTGGGTGCAGTCAGGGTGCTTGAGCAGTTCCCGAACCCAGGGAAGCACTATTCACAGTGTGAGTTCACAGTGCGAGCGCCAGGCCCTGTCCAGTGTCACTTTCAGCGACCTCAGGGGGCGCAGACCCAAGCCTGTCCTTTGGGTTACGTGGACACCCCTGCCTTACGAAGTGATTGGGCAAGGGTCTGACTCAGAGGCATGGACGGATGAGGACTGGCAGGGCCCTGGACCCCAGCTTGGATGTGGCCTAGGACCCATCAGACCAGAGACCAAGGAATTTCCAGGGTCGGGATGGAGAGACAGGAGACGAAAGTGTGTCTTCACTGCTATGACCAGCGCCAAGGAAGGAAATCCCAGTCTCTGCCCTGCTTTTTCTAAGGTGCCTGATGTCCTAACAAAAGGCTGTTTTGCCTTCATCCTTCTGTAGCTGCTGGAGGACGTGTGAGGACCAGCAGCCTGTACATTCTGCCATTCAGGAAACCACAGGAATACTGGGCCTTGAGCCAGAAACCGTAGATAAGTACTGTAGACCCCAAATGAGTACTGTGGTTTCTCACCTCCCATGGTGCAAGGGCTCAAACCAGCCTGCTGTAGGCTGAGCAGATTGCAGAGGCAGAGTCAGGAGGAGCCGAGCAGCAGCTGCCTTGAGCCGTCAACTGTTCTCTGGCCTCTGGCCTTTGGCCTCTAGCTGGAAGGTCGGTCTTCTGGGCTGCAGCTTGCACAGTGGCCCCATGGCCTCACAGGGAACTGGCAGGGGACATTCCCAGCGCTACCCTGGGACATTCGGTGTCATCTGCCCTGCTCTGGTGAGGCCCAGGTGCTCGAGTCCCTGGTCTTCCCTGGAACGAGTGTTGTACTTTGTGTGTGTGTGTGTGGGAGAGAGAGAGAGAGAGAGAGAGAGAGAGAGAGAGAGAGAGAGATGGTCTTGCTGTGTAGCCCAGGCTGTGGCAATTCTCCTGCCTCAGCCTCCTGAGTGCTGGGATTACAGGTGTACGCTACTTCCCCTGGCTTGGCCTCATGTTTTTTTACCTAATTACATTGTTTGGAGGGTTGTCCCTATTAAGGTCATCCCACAGCACTGGGGTTAGGACTCTAACATGGGAACATAGGGGCTGCAGGGGCCTGTGTGGCAGTGTTTCCTGGTTTATACCGAGGTGTGTGTGGTTCTCAGCCTGAGACCCTCCCCGGGTCCTGGCGACTCTGTCCTCCCTGGGCCCACCCAGCACTGCAAGCTGCAGCTCCCGCGTCCTTCCCACAGGCTGGGTTGCTGCGTGGACAGCCCCGAGGAGCGGCGCCCTGGCCCAGGCCCCGGAGGATGGGGCAGATGTCCCAGAGAAGGGGCAGACGTCTTGGCTCGGACCTGTCTTGCTCTGGGCCGCTCACTGGTGAGCACACAGCGTGTTCTGGTGCCACGCTGACAGGTGACTTGTGGTCCTTGTCCGAGGGCTCCCTCAGCTCACAGGGTGGGGAACTGCCCGGTCCTGCGTAGGAGGCAGAGGAGATGCGGATTCTACCTCTGAGCAGGCATAGACAGCAGGATGGGCCTCCCTAGAAGTCAGGAGCGGGGGACCCAGGGCCCCCAGGGACATTCAGCCTCCTGAAACCCCAAGGGGAGCCGAACCTGGTGCCCCCCAAAGACCCGCAGAGGGACCCCTGGGGCTCAGCTCCCTGAGGGACGTCTCACAGATGCAGACGAGGAGAGTGTGGGCACCATGCTCTCCCACCAAGCCAC